CCCCCCCCCGTTTGGGCCGCGTCTCCCCCCGCCCCAGCGCGCCGCTCCGCTCTCGCCGCCGCGCCGGAGCGCGATCGCTTTGCTCCCGCACGTCGCCTTTATAAATAGCGTTGTGACCTGCTAACTAACTAATACCCGCGAGGGTGGCTGTGGGGGCGGCACGGGTGTAAATCGGGTCGTCAGTCTCTTACAGACTGGCTCTGCGACCGGCTCTAGCAGCTCTGCGTGTAGTCACGTTGTTTCGGGCTTTGAAGCCCACTTAAGGAATAATGGCAATTACGGAGTAAGTTTGTCTTCGTAGGACATCTCTGGGCTGTGGCTTTGTTTTTTCTACCGTGAAAACGGTAGAATGGGGACCACCAACCATATAATATAGCAGAGAGAAAGATTCTTTTGCCCGTGTCGTTTTCTTAAGTGATTTTAATGCAATTTGTTTACTCTTTCTGAGACTCAGCTGTATTCTTTGCACTGTTGCCTTGTAACGCTTTGCTGTGTGCTCGGTGATCCATTCTCCGAACTTTGTGTTTGGTTTGTTCAATGATAGTCAGCTGAGATCAACTTTGCTTTAGATTTTCTTTTTTTCTGGTTACATAGCTCATCTGTGGCGCTACACAATGTTTTGCGTAGAAGGTACATGTCCGCATGAATGCGGAACTAGTGTTCAGCCTGCTCTTGACAAAGACTGCTCTGAAGTTGACAAATTTCAGATGTGACTATTAACATTCACAAAATAGGCCGGTAAGCTAGTTTAGTATTTGATGCTGGATTATTTTAACATGTTAGTAGTTAGAATATTTGCTTTCAGCCTTGCTTTTCTGGCAGAAACTAGTTTTATTACTTCAGATGCAGAAGACTTGCAAAGTTAAAGAGAATTGCTCGTATAAATTCTTCTAAACTCTTTTGTGCGCTATTTTCACTTCTAAAAGTTAACGCTAGATGGCTTGCTTATCTCAGACATCCAACAGAGGAGGAAGGCCTCTAATCCGTCTCTGCAGCCTAGCATTCTATATTGGTCTATTTTTTTTCTTCCCATGAATACTACACTACCTTCTTAATCAGTTCTGCGCCGATTAGACCACAGCACAATGTAAAGTTTGCTTGCTAGCTGACATAATTTGTTGTTTTGATCAGTGCTTCTTACTGTTTATAGATACCATTTTATATGGTACTGCCGATATCTAAAGCAAGTTTGTTTAGTCAGAAGATAGTTTTGAAAAATATTTAGGTTATTTTAAAGGAAGGCAGCTGGATGGGAAGGGATGTTTGTAAATGGAATGGAACAATAATTCAGTCTGTTATTACTTAGCTTGACAGGCTTGTCTTCCTTTAAAAAAGGACCACAGTGTATTAAAATATGCTTGTTCAGCTATTTTTTCCTAGATTCTTTACCTGACTATTTTAGAGTGATCAATTTTGGGCTTGGACTGAGAAACCTAATGCACTACAGCCTGCTGGATATAAGAATTTGCCTAGGCCTGATGCAATTTATTTTCTGTGTTTCTCCCGAACTATGAGTGGACTGAGCGGAATACAATATTTGCCCCTGTATTTGCTTCTTTTGATAGTATCTCTGGGATAATTGAATCTTAAATCTGATCTTTGAGATATCTTTTATTATTGATGCAAAAATGTTTAAATCATCAAGAGGTATAATGCGTTATGGATATTTAAACGTCACTTAGACTCCACAACAATTGATTTATAATTTATGTAGCTTGCAGATAAAGTAAGATCACAGAGAGGTCTCTGAATCTATTGTCTTTATTTTACATGCCCAGTGAGTTACTTTTCCAGGTCATGCAGCACTTAGGTGTAACAGGAAGGAATACTTACTTGTAAGGATGCCAGACTGTTTCACCAATCATATTGGATCAATTAAAGATCATATCATTCATATATACCAAGGGTATAATGTGAAACCTAGAATTAAACAAAACCTCAATTATTTGTAGCTGATATTTGCTTACTATGCAAATCAGAATATTTTTAGAGGTTTATATTCTCTTTTCCTGAAAGAAAGATAATCTAGTCTTTTTTGTAGACATTTAATGATCCACACCATTCCTTAAGCACGTTGTGAAATACACTTGCAAATGTAGAGAGCTAAATGAGAAATTAAGCAAGCCAGCAGTCAAAGCAACCAAAACCTTCCATTTCTTCTGCTGTCTGATGACCTTTACAAGTGAACTGAGGCAGTTCATTTTTTTTTTTTTTTTTTCAATTTCAGCTTCATATTGGATGTATTAGTCAAGCGTTGCACCTAGGATTTTTATGTGCAGATCAGCAGTTCTACCTGCAGGAGAAAGTAAATATTTTCTCCTTGCCTTGACTAGGATTAAAATTATATTTAGATAGCTGAATATTAAAGTATTTTCAGTAGATTCATAGCTTTTACAGATGAGTGATCTAGTTTGCTAATAATGAGTGAGAAATGCTATATTACTATTAAAATATAAGATCCAAGTTACAGATAGTGATTTGTGGAAAGAGGGTGGGGCACTGGGTTATCTAATTTCTCATGTTAGTCATCCAAGATTGCCAACAGTAGCTGTGTTGACAGTTTGAAATGGAATCACGTTTTGATGAATGTACCTTTCTCTCTGAATGTAGTTTTTGCTTTGCAGTTTGAAATGTTTTATTGCCCTATTATATTTATGCTCAGACTTGACCGGTGATTGGGCAAGCTGGGTTTGAATCAGTGAACGAAAGAGGAGATGGCTGTGTGTGTTTTATATGTTGCAGTATTGTACTCAAAGTCAGAATTTTTGCTATGTTAGGTAACATAATTTGTATCTAACTCTTTAAAACATTGCTTCTTGCAAGCTTAAGAAAATTAAGCATTAGTAGTCATTCAGTTTATCTAAAAGGAAATTTAATTCTCTAATACATCTGAACAAATCAGACTGTTGAGGCTAGGGGTGTCCTTCTTACCATCTTTTTTTTTTTATTTGTTTTTTAACTCCCCTTTTTTCTGCCTGGATTATCTGGGGAATCATTTGGAGAATTGTCTGCCAAAGCCAACTACTTATCAGAATTCATGAAGACAGTTATATAGCTCCGATTCTAGAATTCGTATTTTGTAGATAGAAAAGTAAGATTCTTTTTTTTTGTGCTTAAAAAATATTAGTTTTTCACGTAGATTTTACCAAAAATAATATTAATTCCTTATAACATTCAGAGATATGATGCCATATGACTGTTCAGTTTTTTTAAGAAATGGTAGGGCTTCACATGAAACCTTTTTTTGATTTATTGTATTTGGTTTATTTAGTGTATTGTATTTTTTTTATTTAGTGTTAACTGAATGTTAAATATCTGATTTAGCCTGACCTAAATGGTAAAAATACAGACTCTGCCTCTTTGTTCCTTTATGGTGAAGCACTGACTCTAGATTTAAAACCATTTTTAGGTATATCTGAGTGAAATGAAGATTGAGAATGTTATTGTAATTGGTGGTACTCTTTCC